CCACTCCGTGCGATCTCGTCTCTGGACCGGAGCCAAAGTCTGGATCAGACTGTGTGCGCTGCCGCGGTTCGCGTGTCACAACGTGAAACCAGACCTCATTTGCACCAATCGAAAGCATATTTACACTATCTGAATCGTTCCCTACCACCTACATTGTGCACTTCGAACAATTCACCGTACAGGAAATACTACACTGTGAACAAGTGACCGATCTCAGCCGCAGCTTCAGCGTCTATTTATAGTGCAGGGGGCGGGCGCTTCGGCTTCTAGAGAGCATTTGATTGGTCAGAAGATTTGATGAGAAGATGAAGTACGATGTGACGTCAAAAAAATCGACAAAGTGACAAACTGCAAGCTTTGAATGCTTATATCTTCTAAATGCGAATTTTGTCACTGTTTTGGAGCACACTGCCTTATAGATAACCTTAAGACTAACATATAGATACTAACACAAAAAAAACTTTAATGTTGATTTCATGGGGACTTTAAATACTTTGATTAATGCACAATAACATTTGACATACTTTAATGCACGAAAACATTTTGCATGCATTAAGATTAATGCACGAAAACATCATTTTACATGTTAATTAGTGCACGAAACCATTATTTTGCATACATTAGGATACATTTTACATACTTTAATGCACGAAAACAACATTTTACATACTTTAAGATTAAAGCATGAAGACATTTTTACATTTTCTGAAGAAACTGCAAGTGTTTGTGGGTAAGCCACCCATTGTGGGTCGTTGCTGTGCGGTTGCTAAAGAGTTCTGGGCAGTAAATCAGCTGGAATATGACCGTCAGTAAGAGCGAACCCCTCTGATAATAGTGGATTTATTGTGCTTGAGTTTAAAGCGTGTTGTTCCAATGAGATGCCATTATTGGCCGTCTCTTCATGTACATGGAGCAGTGAGTGTTGGAGTGATGCATTAGCTAATGATGTTGTTAGCAATCTGCTCTCAGTGCTCCCAGAGGATGTTCAGTGGATGTAGGGCAAATCAATGAACACACACACACACACACTCAATGTCTGTAATGTGACTAATGGCAGTAAATCAACATGCCTACTATGAGTAGTATTAGCTCAGAACCTTTTGAACTCTTGAACTTATGAAAAATGAATATGTTTGTGTTGAAATTTATTACTAAAAATGTATATCAGACTTTAGTCAATCAAATCCATTGCTGCTTTTTGCTTACTTGCAGTTTCCCTCCAAAATGATGTCACATGCTGGAGCGTGATAAAGTTCTAAAATTCTAACAGTCAGTCATTTTGCTATTGATTTGTTCATTATGTGATATACTTGCTGAAACATTGTTTCCTTTATTTTGACTTTGTTCTCATGTAAAACTTTGAAAAGATTTGTCCAAATGTATTTTTTGATATTCGTAACCCCACTTTGTCTCTGCATTTAGAAAAATAAAACAAAAGAATATTATATGAATTTAATTGTAATTTTCGCTATAGATCATCACATACATGTAATGTATGGCGAGTGAATTCGAAAATACCCTAAATATTGATTTATTGACAAAAATGGCATCTTCTCAAACCGAAAATGCTTTTTCATTGTTCACGGAGTTATCATATTGTGTTAAAACAAATTCATACCATTTCCATATTTAAAAATGGCAAGTGATACAGCATACACTATATTTAGACACACATGATAATGCAATGAAAATGATCTCAGGTCAGTAGCAGGTGTCACGAATCACTTTAGGCTACTGGTGAAATCCTCTGATCTGACCCTGCAGGTTCATGGGACATTTGCATTTATTTCCCCTTCTGTTCTTGCATCATGCATTATCTTCCACTCCATTGCTCACCAAGGCTGCATTTATTTGATCAAAAATACAGTAAAATTGTGAAATATTATTACGATTTAGAATAACTGTTTTCCATGTGAATATCTGTTCAACTGTAATTTATTCCTGTGATGGAAATCTGAATTTTCAGCATCATTACTCCAGTCTTCAGTGTCACATGATCTTCAGAAATCATGCTAATATGCTGATTTACTGCTCAAGAAACATTTCTGATTATTATCAGTGTTGAAAACAGTTGTGCTGCTTCATATTTGTGTTTTTTAAAAAAAGCTTTAAAACAACATTTATTATCTTTTTTGACATTATAAATGTCTTTACTGTCACTTTTGATCAGTTTAATGCATCTGAGCATTAACGTCTTTCAGAGAAACCAAACTTCTGAATGGTAAAGTATCTCAATAGATCTGAAACCCTCTTCCTGTTTGGGTAGATAGTTTCCTGTGGATTCATGGGTTTTTTTTATAACCGCAGACGTGTTTTTGGCCAGTGAGAGTGATTGTTCGTTGGGTTGCATCGTGTTTGTTTCTTCATTCTTGGAAGCGAGGCTGAAGCAGATAATGTTGCTCTTGTCCACACTTCCTGTAATTCAAGCCCAAATTAAAGTGGACTTCTGTTGTGGTGTATTGTATCAGGACTGGATCAGATCGCAGCTGGAATATAGCTCGTGTCTGACACTGCATAATAAATCACTGGTGTAGTTGACGTGTAAGTTATAGCCGTGTTTGTGTGTTAGGGGTCCACGGGTCACCTGTTTGCTTTCTGGGTGGTGGTAATCCTGCTGAGGACTCTGTGTGTGTGTGTGTGTGCGCGTCAGGATTGAAGAATTGGCTTCCTTTTAAAAGCACAAGGTGGAATTTGAATGGAATCGGCCACACACACACACCCATCTAGGAATTGTATTGGAATGACAGGAAGATGAATTTAGTGCATTGCAATTCAAGGAATTTGAGCAAAATCGCACAAATGTTTAGTAACAAATTCATTTTATGTTAATAGATTAATTTATTTTACATTGTGTATATTTATAATATTGTATTAATATTATTTATATTAAAATGTATATTTTTATTATTTAACAAATATTAAAATATGAATTTATTAAAATATTAAAAATATTTATATAGAGAGTGTTACACATGCTTACGTATGTGTAGTAAACGATTTCCTTTTCAGTCTCCCTGTGACATTGAAAGCTGCCAAATACACATTTGCCTAAAGTAAATATGAATTTATTAAAATATTAAAAATATTTATATAGAGAGTGTTACACATGCTTACGTATGTGTAGTAAACGATTTCCTTTTCAGTCTCACCTGAAAACCTTTAGAAACGGTTAGGAGGAACTGATCTACTTCTACAACTTTCCAAACTGAGGTCCAAAAATCAAATGTGATGAAGTTGTTATTCAAAACATCAACTTCTCTGTAAAAACACAGAAGTGTGCAAAACTGTTATCTAGAACTTTTTTTTTTTTTTAATAAATACTTTTATTTATCAGGGATGCATTAAAATAATCAAAAGTGACAATAAAGACATTTATAATGTTACAGAAGATTATTTCAAATAAATGCTGTTCTTTTGAACTTTCTGTTCATCAAAGAATCCTGAAAAATACGATGTATTACGGTTTCCTACAAAATTATATAATAATCAGCTATTTTCAACATATTCAATTGTAATAATATTTTATATTTTTATTGTATTTTTTTATCAAATAAATGCAGCCTTGGTGAGCAGAAGAGACTCCATTATTCCAAAACTATATATATATATATAGTTTGTATGTATGCATGTTTATTTTTATATATGCTTAAGTATATTCATTTATATTTAAATAAATAAATAAATTGTTTTATGTATTTATTTGTATATTTGTTTATATTTAAATAGTATATTTATTTGTATATTTATGTTGCATTTTATATCATTTTATTTTATATATTTATATAATATCCTACAGTGAAATTATGTATTTATGTAATATTGTCCAATGAAAGCAATTGACCTGAACTAACTCAAACGTAAGCAGTCGCAACAAACTTCTTCAGAGTCCATTGGTTTTCTGATAAGAAAGTTTGCTTTCAGTTGTTGCTGCTCTATCAGACGTCAGTCTTTGAGTGTGTGGAGCACCTGTGACCGGAGAGGAATGTGTGTGTGTGTGTGTGTGTGTGTGTTAATCCTCTCTGACCTGCAGCCGCTCGTTCCCGTCAGTCATGTTTTCAGTGTCCCGTGTGACGAGGAGATCACAGAGGACAGATGAGAATATGTCTGAAGCGCAGGCTCGTATCAGTGATGTAACCGCTGGCACAGAATGTAATGAGTCATATATCGCTGCCACAGGGCTTGATTTACTGAAAAGCAGAGCGACCGGTCCGGAGGAATCCACTACAGCAGACTGCCTTCACTACACACTGCTGCTTCACTCTAGTTTACGTTCTTGATTTGATTCGTCATTAGTTTTTACTCTAGCTGTAGCTGCAGTTTCAGTATATATATGTGTGTATTTTTTTTACGTTAATTACATATAATAATTGCATTATATGACAAAGACAGTTATACTTGTGTAATGTTGTCTTGTCTTGTTGATTCTTGTAATAGTGGCAGGAGATACTCAGAGAGAGAATATAAGCTGTATTTTCTCTTTCTTTTCATTGATGAAACTGAATGAACACAGTGACTCCAGGACAAATGAATCCATCTAGACGCGCCTACTCGTGCTTTATTAGCTGTGTTTGTGTAAAAGTCAAACATCACTGATCTCTCTAACCATCTCTCATGCAAGTGTTAAACAAGCAGCAGCAGTGTGTGTCTGTTTGTGTGTGTGCAGTTACTTCAGTGATCAGACGCATGATTTTCACCTCTAAGCGCTAGTAAGAATTAAGAAACCACCTAGCAACCTTTTGGCAACACATTACAGTTCCCTCTGAACATCTTTGCAGACAGTATCCGAGGGGCAGAGACTACAAAAGTGTCCAGTGAGTCTTCATTAGTGGCCAGGAGTCAGACTGTGTCCTGAGGAAGCAGTGGGCTGTGAATCAGGTGAATAGCCGAGTGTGTTTTGATTGGTAAATCAGGTGAATGGGCTGCTCATCCTCTCTCTCTGTCTGTCAGTGTTCAGGAGGAGCGGCGTCATCATGGCCTCGATCTCGGAGTGGTACGTGGGGAAGAACGTGCTGATCACCGGAGCCACGGGCTTCATGGGGAGGGTGCTGGTGGAGAAGCTGCTGCGCTCCTGTCCCGACGTCAATGCCCTCTACATCCTCGTCCGGACCAAGGCGGGTCAGTCCATGTCCGAGCGCGTCCAGGACATGATGAAGTGTAAGGTGAGACTCACACTGGGACGTTTACTCGCCATCCTTCTCTTTACAACTTGGAGAGAAAAATTGAAAACACGTTTTCTGATCAAAATTGCAATTGCTGTTATTATTATTATTATTTATTTATTGGTATTTAAGTATCAATATGACTTTAAAAGCAGTATTTCTGTATAAAATTACATACTGTTATTATTATTCATAATGGTTATGATTATTATGACTGAATAATAATGTTAAACCAAAATCAGATCTATTGTTTTTGTTAAATAAAAAAAAATTATATATATATATATATATATAGATGTTACAATAAAATGATTATGATTATGATTATTAATGTTAAATATTGTTGTTATCGTTATTAATAATAATAATGCTGTTTTCATTAGAATTATTAAAATTACTGAATAAAAATATTGCTTAAAATAAGAATAAACAATAAAATGACTGATTATGATTATTATTGTTATATGATATATTGTTCATAATAATAGTAAAGGACAATTGTTTTATTAGATCTATTATTAATATTACTAAAAATACAAACAAAATAAGTAATTACTGTTGTATTAAGAATTTATATCAATAATAATAGTAATAATAGTAGAGGAAGTTGTAATAATAATAATATAAGATAATAATAAATTTAAAAATAATGTTAAATATAGTTAAATAATGTTGAATGTTAAATCATAATAAAATGAAAGATAATATTAAATAAATAACTATAATAAAAATTGCTAAATGAAAATATTGTCAATGACAGTCGCTTCATAAGTGTTTCTTATTACAATTTTGGAAAGATACTTAAATGACCTTTATTTAATAAAATCTCAGCGATTGTGATTTGATAAGCCAAATCGTGATTTCAGGTTTCGTTTCTATTAATGGAGCAGCTCTTATTTATCATCAGAATCAGTGTGTTTGGCACACTTTTAAGACATTTGTAACCTTTCTAGAACATTGTGCTTTTCTTCTTTTCTCGCTTTTCAGGTTTCTCAGACAGAAGCCTGATGCTTATATTGTGTTTTTGTCATTGGATATCTCAGTCTTTATGATCAGATGACATCTGATCGCGTCCGAACTTCAGTTAACCGTGTGTTGATCCTTAAATAGTTAGTTACGTCAAAGCGTGCAGAACGGTGACCGCATCTGTGTTTGCTCACTGGCGGTCATCAGGGTTTATCACTATGTTTCCCTGAACTCGATCCTCTGAAACCTGCTGCAGAACTTCCCTCGGGCGACAATGGAAAACGCTCTTTTATTGTTGCCATGGAAACCCCACCACAAACACCATCCATATGAGTTATGATCTGTATTTCCATGCGCGTCTGATCGTGCTGTAGGTGCGGCTTCATTACTGCTGGAGAAAGGCTTGTTTTATGTGAGGATGATGAGTCACATCCGTAGTAACGGAGAAGAACTTACTCCCATTCGTTTAGTTTGAGCAGAACTTTCAGCAAAGAAACACTACTACTACTACTATTATTATTATTTAGCATTTATATATTATTATTAAAATACATAAATAAAAATTAACTATATTAAATATATGATCATTATAATTATTATGATCATTAAAAATATATTATTTTTTAAATATGTATGAATAATAAAAACGATATTATTATTATTATTATCATCATCATCATAAAATATCATATATTATGTCAGTTGGTATTCAACAGCAATATCCTAGCAAAATGTTAGCAAATATGTATTTGCTTTTTTTCTTTTCTTTTTTTTTACGTTTTTATTATATTAATAATAATTAATATGTTAAAGTGTTTTAGTTTTTTAAAACATTTTTTCATATTTTTTAGTAATTTGGTCTGTGTTTTTGTATATATTTGTGTTTATTTATTTTGTTTATAGAGATTTTTTAATATTTATTTTTTTTCTCCAGTTTTAGTCAAATGAGTACATCTAGACAAGCTAAATAAAAAATGACAAATGTTGCCTTGGGAACTTTTTTTATAGTTTGTTTTATTTCACATTTATTGTATTTCTAGTAATCAATGCTTTATTATGGTTTTAGTTGTGTTTAGATCACTATAGTTCATTTAAAGTGAGTAATGTTTCTGAACTGCCTGTGAACTGAGGAATGGGTTTGCTGGTGTTTCAGTAGTTTGATCCGGTCTGTGCCGGACTGATGTGAGATCTGGACTCCAGCCAGAATGAAGCTCAGCTGTTATGAGACGCAGATCAGTATTATGGGTCAGACGAACAGATTCTGTCAGCGCTGCGCAAACTCTCTGACCTCTGATATAAACCTCATTACAGCTTGTGTGTGTGTGTGTGTGTGTGTACATGTGAGGACCAAATGTCTTGATTAATATTGTGAAATACTTTGATAACGCACTAGTGAGACACTTGACTGGTCCTCAGTAGTTAGAAAGACTTGTAAATCAGCCAGAAGATGTTGTTGATGTAAATCTAGTGTTCTGCAGATGGTTAGGGTTTGGGTTAGCTGATAGAAAATATCATTAACCTGATAGAAAATCAGTGGAAGTCTATGGAGTGTCCTCACTAAGATAGCCAAGCAAACATGAGTGCGTGTGTGTGTGTGTGTGTGTGTGTGTGTGTGTGTGTGTGTGTGTGTGTGTGTGTGTGTGTGTGTGTGTGTGTGTGTGTGTGTGTGTGTGTGTTTTTGGAGAAGGAAAATTAATGTGGGAAGCCATTCAGCCTCAAACAAACGTGTCTATTGTTTTGTCATTTAAATGGCCTTTCACCAGATTCTTAAATAATTAAAGAGACTAGCTTTATATAGCTTTTATAACTTTGAGTTATATATATAATAAAAACAATAATAATATTAATATGATTAGTGAGGATGATTATGTTTATTATATATTATTTAATATATAATATATTATTTATATATTATTTAATTTCCTCCAATTTTGATGAGAATACCCTCAAATTAAAGCTCACAGTGTGCACTTTAAGACCATAATCATTATATAACTGTAACTTGAATATGTTTTGGTCAGCACTCAGCAGCTAAAATAATAAAATTGTGCCTGTGTCCAAATGTATATGGACCTGACTGTGTGTATATATATATATATATATATATATACCGTATGTCTATATTTTATTTTTTATCAGTTTTGTTAATGAAATTATATTTTATATTTGAAATTGTATGAATTTCTGAATTGATTCTGATTTGTATTGTGGACGCCCCAGCGTTTGTTGAGTGCTGGACGTCCCGCAGGTGAATTCTTCAGTCGGTTCAGGCAGGGATACTGATCTACCTGTGATCCGCCTTCATTCTCTCTCTGACCTCCGTCCCTCCTTCAGTCTGTCCAGTCGACTGCGCTTCTGCTCTCTGCTGTTTCTTCAAGCGTGTGTGTGTTTATCATTCACCCAAGGCCACAGCAATGCAGGAACTGAAGGAGTATTGTCTCTCTCTCTCTCTCTCTCCCACTCACACACAATGGGGTCTCGGTGGAGACTGGCACAGAGCGACCGCCGTCCCACAATGCACCGTTTGCTCTTTCCAGCACAGAGAGAGCAAATGTTTACAGTGCTCGACCCCGGCGAACCCCTGACCTCAATACAGTGAACCTGTGCGTCCTTTATTCTTCCTTTCTCGTACAGTGCAGCTTTAATCGAGGAGTTTGAACTGTTTCCACATAGATCAGCAGTTACTATTGTAAATACTGTTATAGTTTTTATTAATATTTTAAATTACTTTTCATTTTTATATTTTCAGTTGTGATTTTATACAAACTTACATTAACATTTATTAGTAAATACTTATTACTTACTTTATTATTAATTGCTGATTATAATTAATTACTTCATTATTTTAAATAATTCAAATCATTTTTAAGTAATTATTTTTATTACTAATTAGGTTTAATTTTATTGCTGTTAGAAATGTTATTGCGTCAACTTAAACTTTAAAATTTCATTTTCTAATTAGCTATTTTCACCTAATATTTCTGTTTTAGTTAATTAATATTTTATTTAATTTCAGCTTTATTTCTATTAAATTTTTAGTAAACTATAATAAACCTGATGCTGTTTTAACTAGATAAGCAAAAGTGTTTTTTTTGTTTTTTTTTCTATTACAGTTGATTTTAATAGTTTGAATTAGTGTAGTTTTACTTTTTATTTTATTTTTAGTAAATTTGTTATATACGTTTGCCATTTTTAATCACTTTAAGTTTTTAATACTATTATTTAGGTTTTGTTTCTGTTTTAGTTTTTCAGTTAGTAATTTAAGTGCTTCAACTTTTTTTTTCTTAATATTTATATATTATTTCAGCTTTATTTCTATTAATGAAAATGTATTTAGTTGTTTTAGTTTTAGAATAACCCAGATACTGTTTAAACTAGATAATGTTAAATAGATAATATTAAATAGATAATGTTAAATAGTAGTTTAATTTAATTGAAATTTTTAAAGATTTATTTTTGCAGTTTTTGCCTTTATTACGTGCGCTGCCCACAAGGTTTTTGTTTTATTTTGTTTGAGCTTTATTTCAGTGAACAAAATGTTTTTAAATTTTTGTTTGTTTGTTTGTTTTGGATACTGTTTTAATTAGTGCTATTTTAGTATTATTTATATACTTAGTTTTATTCCTTTTTTTAATTGGCTTTTATTTTCAAAAAAATTGCTTTTGCCATTTTTTTTATCAATTAACTTTAATCAGTTTAATGTTTGTTTGTTTTTTAGTTCAGTTTTAGTTTTCCAAATTTAGTTTTTCACCTAGTGTTTCCATTTAATTTTTTATGTAGCTTTATTTCAATGAGCAGTTGAGTAGTTTTGAAAAGTTGCAGTTTTGATAGAGGTAATGATACTGATGTGCTGTATTCTAGTGTGTGTGTCTGAGTGTGTATGTGTTTGTTTGTGTGTGTTTGTGTGTGTGTGTGTTTGCGTGTGTGTTTGTGTGTTTGTGTGTGTGTGTGTTTGTGTACCTGTTTTTCTATTCTGGTGGGGACTTAAACCTGAATACACACAGACTCATGGGGACTCGTGTCACGGTGGGGACCTAAATTGAGGTCCCCACGGGTAAACAAGCTAATAAATCACACATAATGAAGTTTTTTGAAAATCTAAAAATGCAGAAAGTTTCCTGTGAGGGGTAGGTTTAGGTGTAGGGCGATAGAATATACGGTCTGTACAGTATAAAAACCATTACGCCTATGGAGAGTCCCCACAAGTATAGCTGACCAGACGTGTTTGTGTGTGTGTGTGTGTGTGTGTGTGTGTGTGAGGGCGTTCGCTCTGGCAGCGCTGCAGCAGCATATGGAGCTTCATCCTATGCCAGCATGCGGGTGTGTGTTGTGTTTTTGTTGCCCGGTGACACAAACCGTGGCAGGAAGTTTGGCTGAAGCGGCTGCACTCGTTTCCTTCGTTTACTGCATTTCTGAAAAGTGTTCTAGCTCCTCACGTTCCTCCTGTCTGATATTGACCAGGTTCTCCTAGTTTTGTGTGTCTTGACCTTTTAACTGCTTCTCTGTCCAGCAATGACTGAACTCTTTATAAGTGTGTGTGTTGGCTAGACTGCTCTCATGGCCCATATGTTGTCTGATCTGTCCAGTAATCTGTGTTAATGGCCGTTATGACCAGACTTATGTGTTCAGATGATATCATTAGGGCTTTATTCCCGTAGTATTTGCATGTTTGAGTGTGTGGGAAATGCTCCCCTGATGATTACTCATATTAAAATGATGCACTTTTATTTGCATTTGAAAATCCTCTGGTTTTAAAAGACAAGATAGTTGCTTTATTGGTGCGCACAAACTTCATATTAGCCAAATAAGTTCTGTTATGTCTTGTTATAGTTTCTGAATGGGGTTTATGTGCTCTCTAAATGATTAATTATTTGTTTTTGTTATTGTTTTGTATTTGTTCTTTATTTTGCAAAGGAAATTGTATTTTATTAATAATTGTATTATTGTTTTATTATACTATTTATTTACTTTTAAATAACTTTATTAGTTTTAATATTTTGAATTAGCTTGTATCCTATAGTTCCAGTTTATATTTTAGTTTAATTTGAGTAATTATGTTTTTAACATTTTAATTTGTATTAATTATTTTTTTAAATATTACTATTTCGTTTTTTTTTTTTTCGGTTCTACTTTTAGTTCAGTTTTAGTTTGCCAAACAAAAATATTTTTTGTTGGTTTATTTGTAAATTACATTTATTTGATTAATAATTTGCTTTTTATTTAAGTTTATTTTATTTCTTATTTTTAATTATATTTTTAGTTTTTAATAAATCAGATTTTTTTGTAAATGATAGTTTAATAAACTAAATAACTATAAAATATATATGTATAATATATCTAGATAAAAAAAAATTTTTTTATTATTAATATATATATTTACTTTTTTTGTATAGTTTAATATTCAAAAAATGTCTCGTATAGCAACAGGTCTAAGTGACATTTAGAGATTTCCCAGTAATTGTGTAGGAAAGTGTGTTTCTATTGAAACATGAGTGAATGTGTACTGTACATCTCACACCTTTGACAACATCTTGAATAAACGAACACATTGCGAAAGCAAATAAATGATCCGTGTCTCAACATGCAAGCAGACTTTATAACAGCCAGGCTCTCCCAGACAATTTCACAGCAATTCCTGGGAAAAAGTCAGGAAGAACTGGATTGTGACGTGTTTTACAAGCTCTCGTCCTTCAGGAAGGTTTAGATGTGGCGTTTAAACGGTTTATTTTATTTGCATACTGAATGTATTTGCATGCTTATTGCTGACTGGTCCTCCTCATTTACACTGATGACTCAAAAACATCCTTTTAGTTCTGATATGGTGTCTAAATGGGGTTTATGTGCTCTATAAATAATTACATTTGTTTTTGTTTTTTTATTTGTACATGAAATTTGATTAATATTTTTTATTGTTTCTGTTTTTGTTTTGTTTTGTATTTTTAAATAAAATGTATTGATTGATTTGTGTTTTGTTATTGTTTTTTTTTCTTCAATTAAAGTTTGTTTAATAATTTTGTTATTATTGATTTTTTTCCATTTGTATTTTATTATTGTTTTTGTTGTTTTTTTTAATGAAGTATTTGAATGTATTTGACCTGTTTTTGAATAATAATTAGTTTAATGTAATAAAATAGTTTTCTGTTTTACTTTTTTGTGAATGAAATTTATTTGGTTGATAATTAGTATTTTATTATTAATCATTTGTTTCTTAATTATTATTTTTTGTTTTATTTATTTGTATAAATTACATTTATTTGATTATTTTGTATTATTGTTTTTTGTTTTATTAATTAAATTAAGCAAATTAAATTTGTTCAATGTTTGTTTAAATAATGTTTTTATTATTGTGTTTTATTTGTTTTGTTAATTTGTAATCAATTATTTGATTCTTTTTTTAATTTAAATTAATGTAATATTTTTGGTTCAACTTCAAAACAGCTCTGGCATTTCATTTGCACCTCAAACTTATTATTGTGATTTTTTTTTTTTTATAGTGATTCTCATTAGGTTTTCAAATAATACAGTATTTATTTAATTTTTATATAATGACCATGATGTATGAATAATTTTGAGAATGTAATTCATGAAAATTTCAAGTTATTGCATTTTGTTTATTGGAAAAATGAAAGTGATTTGATGAATATTTTCAGTGCGACTATAAAGCAGCTCTGGTGTTTCATTTACACCTCAGACTTCAATATTATTCTGATGGCATGCACTGTTTTCTTTTGGAAATGCTAATCTCTCTTGGATAAATATGCATTGAAAAGCGTGACTGGACCGAGAGGCTCAACGGCTGTCAGCATCTGTCCGGCCCTCGGCAGGTGCCTGCTGCTGGGGTTACAGGGACTCACATGTTACATCCAAAATTGATTCTGATTGGCTGCGGCTGCGGGAATGTGCCACTGCCAGACCCTTGGAATTGTGGGTAACATAAGTCAGCACATGTGTGTCAGAGAAGACGGCAGTCTCTGCAAATCCTCTTTTGATATCAGATTACAGAAATCACAGCGCATTCATCAGCTATGTACCGCTTCAAACATGCAATGCTGAATGCCTGCGTGTTTGGATACGGTCAAGAAATATCTAATTTATTCACTCTGCAGTTTTCTCCTTTACATAAACGCTGAAGTCTGTGACATAATATGATGAGATTTGTCATTTGCATCTTGCTGTTTGTCCAACTGAAAATTACATAATGTCTCCTGAAGGATGAATTCTCATGTAAACAGACCACATTTTACCACAAAATCAGATGAGAAATTGCATTTCTTAATAATAGTGTGAAAATGTTTTAGAACCATGCATTGTAAGGTTATTTTTTATGGACTATTACAAATGAAGTACATTTCCCATTTTTGTAATTTGCTTATTTTATGTTATTTTATTTGATCAATGGTGATTCTCATTAGGTTTTCATATAATAAATAATAAAATCTTTATTATATTTAAATTAACATGATTAACATGAATACTTTTAATGATCTTATTGTCTTGTTTTTGCTCTGGCAGTAAGTACATTATTATCATACATTATTTATCATAACGGTGCTGTTCATTAGGTTTTAAAATAATACAGTATTGATTGATCGATTTTTGTTAGTTTTTTTTATTGTAGTTTTTTCAATGGTATTTGACATTAGTTAGTACATTAATTTACACTATTTAATTTAAATTAGCTTCATTGTATTAATACATTATCATACATTATTTATCATAACGGTGCTGTTCATTAGGTTTTAAAATAATACAGTATTGATTGATCGATTTTTGTTAGTTTTTTTAATTGTAGTTTTTTCAGTGGTATTTGACATTAGTTAGTACGTTAATTTACACCATTTAATTTAAATTAGCTTAATTGTACCCAAATTCCTATTTTTGGAATATTTATTTATTTTACTTATTTACTCTCACTGGTGGTTCTCATTACATTTCCAAATAATACTGTTAATTTAATTTGAATTAGTGTAGCCGTAACTTACTGCCTTCATCTGTGAATGCTGTAGAGAGCGTGAAGAATGATCATTGTCATGTTTTGTGTTGTTCTAGTGAATCTGCATCGCTGACGTGTTTGTCTGTGTGTTTCGCAGCTGTTCGACCGCGTGCGTGAAGATAATCCTGACTTTCATCAAAAGATCATCCCCATCAGCAGCGAGCTCACGCAGCCCGGCCTGGCCATCAGTCCAGAGGATGTGCAAACACTCACTTCCTGTATCAACATCGTCTTCCACTGCGCCGCCACCATCCGCTTCGACGAGCCCCTGAAGTGAGTGACATGTGACGACATTTACTAAACATATCATCAGAGATGTTTCCTGAAGATTTCTGAAGATCATGTGACACTGAAGACTGGAGTAATGATGCTGAAAATTCAGCTGTGATCACAGAAATAAATTACAGTTTAACAGATATTCACATAGAAAAGAGTTATTTTAAATTCTAAAAATATTTACTGTATTTTTGATCAAATAAATGCAGCTCTAGTGAGTAGAGGAGACTTCAAAAACATTAATAAACCTTGCCGAACCCAAATTTTTGAACATTAGTGATGGAACTTGAAAGCCATAGCTACACTTGTAAAGGAAGAGAGGAAATGTGAGAATAACAAGAATAAGAGAGGGAAAACACACACACACACACACATACAGTATCTCTGTGTGTCATGAGTCTCCGGCTGAGGAGCAGATGTTCTCACTGCTGGAGGAACGAGGGATTCATTAGTGAACCGCTGACTTCGGAGCAGGAACGAGTGAGGGAAAGGTTTCCACACACACACACACACACACATCTGTTCACAGCAACCTCTTGCTTCATTGTTTTAAGGAAAATAAAAACAGCATTTTTATTAAAAAAGTTTTTATTTAAAGCACCTGATGTGTTTTAAGAATGCAGTCATCTTACTCTCAGCAGCATCACAGACCAGTATCACTAATATGCTATTATAATTTTTATATTAAAAAATACTGTTTAAGTTTTAAAACATTTATAATCATTTATAATAAAAAAAATACATTTTAGTATTTTTTGTCATTATTATTTTTTAAATATTTCTATAAAGTTTAATCAATTTTTATTTCAGTTTTACTTTATTTCAGTATTTCATGATAAACTAAAAAATAAGAAATAATGCCTTGGCAACTAGCTGAAATAAAATAAATTTAACTTTTATTTTATTTCAAGTGACATTTTTTTATATATTTTAAGTGAACCTTCATTACCCTGTCACAGACTTTAATTTTAGAAATTAAATTAAAGAATTAATTTCTTTATTTTAATCATTTGTATTATTTAGTTATTTTAATCAATTTATTTATTTTTAAATATAATTTAATTATAATTTGTACATTTTGAAATAATGAAATAAGTTTCTTTTACATTACCTTATTACTTTTTCTGCTCACTATAGTACTGTACTGAGATATATATTTTTTTTTTGTTTTGTTTTTTTATCATTTTTTTTATGTTTATTTTTGTAATTTTTTATTATTTATTTTATCTATATATTCATTTATTTTTTAAATATTATCTATATATTTTTGTTCTATGCCAAATTATAATAATAAATCATTTGTTACTATTATCTTGTTACTTTTTCCCAGTCATTACAGTACTGTGCTGTTAGATGTATTACGTATGTATTTTTATTCATTTTTATTAATGTATTTATTGTATTTTTATTATTTATTTATTTTAATCAAATTTATTTAATTATTTATATGTTTTTTGGTCTACATTGCCGGCTATTGCATGTCTTATTTTCCACGTTATTTAACTCTGATGTTGCATGTCTGAAACGCTGTACTGACCCTGAAGCAAAGCAGTGATTTTTTTTATGGTTTATAATGTGTAATAATGAATGCGTGTGTCTGCGCAGGCATGCGCTGCAGCTGAACGTCATCGCCACGCTGCAGCTCCTCTCTCTGGCGCAGCAGATGCAGCACCTGCAGGCCTTCATCCACATCTCCACCGCCTACGCCAACTGCAACCGCAGACACATCGACGAGGTCATCTACCCTCTTCCGGTCGAGCCCAAGAAACTCATCGACTCTCTGGAGTGAGTGCAATATATCATCACCTCAAACTCACTTACAGAATCTACCCGGCAACCACATCTATGAGCTTATGTTACCTTATGGAGCTGACACAATCCACAGGTGTGAGGGAAGAGTGTATTCAATATCAGACTTAAGCTAATGCCTCGGAACAGAATTATGGTATGCTGAAAAATATATCAAAACTAAATAAAGATAAAGCAAGGAGAGAAACGTGAAAATAAGCCATGAACACCAGTGTTATTTTAGTATCAAGATACTTTTAGATATTTTGGTTAATATTTTGAATTAGTTTATATGTATATATTTTCCTTTTTTCCTTTTAAAGTTTGAGTAATTTTGTTGTGTGTTTTTGTCATTTTCTGTAGTGTTTTTTGTGTCGATATAGTTTTTAGTTATTTTAGTACATCAAGTTAAACTAAAATAAAAACAAAGAAATGTGTTCTTGGCAACTAGCTGAAATAATAAAGGAAATAATATTTTCAGTTAATTAATGTTTTTTTTAAGTAATAAAATAAATAAAATATACATTTGTAAAATGTATAGGCAGGTGTATATTTTTATGTAGAAAGTCCCAATACTTTGAAAAACTGATGCTAATATTATTAATATTATTAAATATGTCCAAATATTTTGAGAATGTTTTGTTTCTATTACATTTACATTATTAGTTTTTTCTATTCACTATAGTACGGTACTTGTTAGGTGTATTACTTATTTAAATATGTTATTTTGTTATTTATTTTAATCTATATTTATTGTTTAATAATTTATTTTAATCAGTATTTTTTCTTTTTATTCATTTTTTTATTACTTCAGTTAATTAATTTATTGACATACTGTACATTCCTTTTTCTACTCACTATAGCGCTACACTTTTAGATGTAGTATTTATTTATTTGTAAATTTTTTTTATTATGTATTAATTTGTTCATTTTAATCAATTTTGTATTATTTATTAGATTTTTTCAAAATTTTAGTTTATAAATTTTTTTTTTTCTCTAACCTTTTCCACGAACCCGTTTGAAAACACTTGGTTTACGCCGCTGGTCATTTTCCACATAGTTTGACTCTGTCAAGCCAGATAGCATCAGGATGTTTTGTCTGACACACTGTACTGACCCTGAAGCAGAGCAGTGGTTTATCTGTGTGTGTGTTTGTGTTTGTGTGTGTTTTCTTGTGTGTGTGTGTGTGTTGTGTGTGTGTGTGTGTGTGTGTGTGTGTGTGTGTGTGTGTGTGTAGGTGGATGGATGACAGTATCGTCCGTGACATCACGCCGCGTCTGATCGGTGACCGGCCGAACACTTACACCTACACTAAAGCGCTGGCCGAGTGTGTGGTGCAGCAGGAGAGCGGCAAACTCAACATCGGCATCATACGGCCGTCCATCGTGGGAGCCAGCTGGCAGGAGCCGTTCCCCGTGAGTGACGCATCCGCTCGCAACAGAGTTCTGATGTCTGAGTGATGAGGCTTAATGGTTAAAGATCTGGGCTGCTAACCCAGAGGATTTAGGTTCAAACCTGGACTAATGATGGCATAAACATACATACCAGAACATCATAGACGTTTGGGGTTGTTATCATTAACTAAAACTAAAAACATAAAAAAATAAAAATTAACTGATTAAATAAACTTTTTATTTGAAGTACTAAAATAACAAACTAAAAAAAAAATAAAAAAAAAAAAACTATTTAGACATATATTTAAAAAAATAATAATACATTTAGGTGAACTCCATATACTATAAAACTAAATACATGAAAATAATTCTAAAATAAAAAAGTAAATAAAATAAAAACTATATAGACATTGAAATAAAATATTACAAAATGTACATTTATTTTATTTCAGGTAGATGCCAAGGCAACATTGCTCATTTTTGTTTAGTTTAATTTGAAATACTAAAGTAACTAAAACTAAAATATCACACACACACACACACACACACACACACACACACATTTAAAAATATTACTGGACCCTGGAGCACAAAAGCAGTCTTAAGTCGCTGGGGTATATTTGTAGCAATAGCCAAAAAAAACATGTATTGTGTAAACGTGTTACGTGTCAATTTTTTATTTTTCTTTTATGCCAAAAATCATTAGGATATTAAGATAAGATCATGTTCCATGAAGATATTTTGTCAATTACCTACCGTAAATATATCAAAACGTCATTTTTGATTAGTAATATGCATTGCTAAGAACTTCATTTGGACAACTTTAAAAGTGATTTTCTCAATATTTAGATTTTTTTGCACCCTCAGATTCCAGATTTTCAAATAGTTGTATCTCAGCCAAATATTGTCCTATCCTAACAAACATACATCAATGAAAGCTTATTTATTCAGCTTTCAGATGATGTATAAATCTAAATTTCTAGAAATTGACCCTTATGACTGGTTTTGTGGTCCAGGGTCACATATTTCTGTTGTGTATAACCCTGTGATACACAACAATGCTCAAACGGTTTTTCTGTATGTTACAGGGTTGGATAGACAACTTTAATGGACCAAGTGGTGTTTTCATTGCTGTAAGTATTGATTCATGGTGTGCTACAGTAGATCTGAAAGTTTAACACATCCTGAACCCCACAGAGAGCAATCTTAACCCTAACGCTACTTTAAGTGATTTTCAAAAGCCTCTAAATGATCAAAACTTTGCCGATAAACCTGTCGCACACAATATACTACAAGCCTTAAGTCATATGTTTGATAAAGTGTAGTTACAGTGTAGTTTTAGTGTAGTTACACAAACGTCCAGCTGGTGCTTCACGTGTTTTTTGTTGTCAAATCTGATTTTTATCATGTAAATTTCAGAATAACTGCAGTAATATTTCCAGATGAACACTTACTGGACTGAAGCAGCTTGACTTTACTTGATTCTCCATTGATCAATTTTTAGAAAAATTAGTGCGTCTCAAATCTGATCATCAGGATCTTTTGAGGAACATTTGTTTCCAGAAGCTTTACTTTCACTGTTCCTCAGCGCAGGAATGATCTTCACAAGCCTCCAGAACATCTCACATCTTCTGAGGAGCCTTTATTTCTTCATCTCTCAATCATCATTAGATTGCATTTCATTATATGTTTGGATCATTTCAATCTCATCTCACTAAGACATATTATTTGAGATATAGAGTGACCACTGATATTTAGATCATGTTATGTCCTAAACGCCTGCGTGAAGCTCACAGCCAGACAGAGGCAGATGGTGTGTTTGGCGTCCTCTCTGAAGAAGCGTGTGTTTTGTGTGTCCCGGTGCAGGCTGGGAAGGGCATCCTGCGCACCATGAGAGCCAGTAATGACGCGGTGGCCGATCTGATTCCTGTAGACGTGGTTATAAACCTGACGCTGGCTGCCGGCTGGTACACCGCAGTGCACAGGTCAGCTTCACCTGTCTGATTAACTTATGCGAGACCCGCAGGTGATTAAACGGAGAACATTAGCATGAAAAATCCCTCTGTTGATGTATTTGCATGAGGGGGAAATGTGCGGTTGTGCTCATGCGGCACGGTGTGATCTCCTTGTTCTGTTTTCGTTTCAGACCGAAAACTGCACTCGTGTACAACTGCACAACCGGAGGCATTAACCCTTTCCACTGGGGAGAGATCGGTGCGTAACATGCTTTGATATCCTGTGTGAGTGAGTTATGAATACTGCATACTCTAGACCAGGGATGGGCAACTTTGATAGTGACGAGGGCGCACGTCCTACTACGCTGAAATTAATAGGGGAGCGGCTGGAAACTAGCGACCTCTCCTGGTTGGAGATAGTATTAACATCATAAACTGAAAGCAATCTTTACGTGACTTGCTTTTCAAATGTTTTAAAATTGATCATCCATGTCTAATATGATCCAGCGGGCCGTACTAAAAGACACTGCGGGCCGCCAGTTGCCCATCCCTGCTCTAGACTGTATACTACACTGAAAGAAATGTAGTTCTTTGTCGCATATTACATGTGATGTAATGCCGTGAAATGGTTTTCTGCAGTTCCTCATCTCACAGTGCAACAATGAGTTAAGGACATACACAGGCATTAATAAAAAAAAATGTATAGAATACAGAATGTATGAAGGAATAAGGAATTAGAATAAATGGAAGATAGAATATAGTAGAGAGAGAGAATAAATATAGAAAATGCATATAAATATAGAAATAAATACAGAAGCTGTACAGTAGATTTTACGGTGTTGTGGCATTTACTCACAGTTTTCACAAAATTTTAATAAGTAAAAATATTTTTTGCTCTTATTTCTCAATCATTTTGTTTTGCAACTTTGAAAAATGTATATTTTTAGAAATAGTATGCCATATACAATGATAAATGTTTGAAATCGTGTCATGGTCAGTATTGTATTACATGTTTAATTCCAGTCTCAAAAATAAAATCGATTAAATCACAAAGAAATTGAAGTAGCCTGTTCATTGCTAGTAAATTTCACAACTAATTACAAAGAAGCAAGTAACGCATTGAATTAAACATGCAGTTTTGAAGTTGAAAAACTGAATGAACTCCAATAATTTTAGTTTATTTACAACTTAAATATTTTTATATTATACAATCCAATCCAAAAAAAGCATATGAAATAGTATGCAGTATGCAATAAATGTTTGAAACATTGTTATTGTCACCATTGCATGTGTAATTCCAGGCATCAAGGCTCCTCTCAAAAATTCAAATTAAAATAAATCATAATTGCATAACTTCAGGTTCATTGAAAATACAAAAATTAAAATAAATAAATAAACAGTGTACATGCTATTTTTAATAGAAAATGCTAAATGTTTGAAAGAGTATTATTGTCACTGTGCTGCATGTTTAATTTCAGGTGTGCAGACTGATGTCAAAAATAAATCATAATTGCATAACTGCAGCTTCATTTGCATTGCAAATAGAAGCTCAAGTCAAATGCATGAGTAGTTGTTTTGCATTTGTAATAAAACCCTAATAAAAGGCTAAATATAACACCTAAAAAAAAGCACAGTTGATAACATTTCAGGGTTATTCGTCACACTGGAAGTGGATTGAGTGCATTGCATTATGGGTTGCAGTGTGTTCTGGTTGCATACTGCACATTTCAGCAGATGCACGCTACTATGTTTCAAAAATAGCTCAGAGTACATCACTGGGATCACACTGTACTGTACTGTATGTGCGCTGGCTGTGTGTCGGTGCCGGAGGGCTGATCACTGGTCAGAGCAGCTGAAGCGTTTCCATGGCAACAGCAGGATCTGAGGCTTTATCACGAGCAACATCTGGCTGCCAGCATCACCATGCCAACAGCCAGAAGCAGATCTTCCTCTTCCTGTCAGCGTTTCCCAGATTCATGCTGCAGTAACAGTGGCTTAGTTATCATATTATATACAGTATCTTTTGCTTTCCAGAGCATCACGTGATGTCCACGTTTAAGAGGAATCCTCTAGAACAGGCTTTCCGTCGGCCAAACGCCAACATCACCTCCAATTACCTGATCTACCAGTACTGGATCCTCGTCAGTCACAAGTTCCCCGCGCTCATCTATGACCTGTTCCTCCGACTGTCCGGACAGAAACCACAGTGAGATCTAACAACACTGTACTTGCATGATCTGTTCTATTGTGATGAAATGCCGTGTATAATAATATATTTAAAAAATATTTTATTTATTAGAAATAGAAATACACCCTTGCTGATTAAAAGTAATAATTATTTTAAAACCTTATAGACCCCTAACATTTGAATGATAATGTATATTATTGAAAATTGAGATTGAAAATAAGACAAAATATATGCTAAAATATAATTATATTTTATTATAGAAAAAAATAAAATATGTATTGTTAATATAGAAATACAAATATTGGTAAATATGATAAAGCATTATGATTATTAATAATTTAATACATTATATAATATTTTATATTTAATTATATAATAGAATATAAATGGAAAATAAGAAAATATTAGGTCAAATAGAATTCTATATTATATTATATTGCATATTATAGAAATAAAATATCTGTAGAGATAAAGTGGCATGTATGGTTAATATATAAATGCAAATATTATTATTATTGTGAATAATTATTAGAAATATCTTATGTAAAAAGACATTCACAAGAAAAAAGATAAATAAGCACGTTTTGGTAACAAGAATATATTATATTATCTTATATATTATATTATATTATAAAAACAGATATATATATATATATATAGTTAATATATAAATAGAAATATCAGTAATTATTGTATTATTAATATAACATTTTGATCATTAATATCAATAATTATGAATATAATTTAATACGTTATATTATAGAAATAAAATCTATAAAAAAGTAGTGTAATTGTCGTAGAGGTGCTGAGTGTGTCTGTGTGATCTGTGTTCATTCAGGATGATGCGTACACTCTCACACACACACACACACACACATACACGTGTTTATTTCTGTGAATTGTGGGGACTTTCCATAGACTTCTATTACTTTTATACGGACCAAACTATATTTTCTATCTCCTAACGCTAAACCTACCCCTTACAGAAAACCTGTTTGCATTGTAAACATAATTTAGTCTTTTTAATAATTTTTTTTCCCACTTTGTCAAAAATTGCAGGTTTTACTATACACACACACACACACACACACCGCCGAACCAATCACACGAGCATACTGACTGTCTGTGGACGAAACTGTGCTGAACTCATCCTCGTGATCTTTCAGACCTTCAACTTCGACGTTCGCCAGCTGAACTGGCCCGAGTACATCGAGAATTATTGTATCGGCACCAAGAAGTACGTTCTGAACGAGGACATGTCCGACATTCCCGCCGCCAGACAGCACCTGAGGAAGTACGTCCTTCTGATGACACGTCTACACACTTACTGAATCTAAACTGAGCTGAATAATGACACCATTGCCTTCTGCAGAGCTGCTTTACAGCTGAAATTGAATTCAAATGTGACCCTGGACCACAAAACCAGTCAATTTTTCGAAATTGAGATTTATACATAATCTGAAAGCTGAATAAATAGCTTTCCATTGATGTATGGTTTGTTAGGATAGGACAATATTTGGCTGAGATACAACTATTTGAAAATCTGGAATCTGAGGGTGCAAAAAAATCTAAATATTGAGAAAATCATCTTTAAAGTTGTCCAAATGAAGTCCTTAGCAATGCATATTACTAATCAAAAATTAAGTTTGGATATATTTACAGTAGGAAATTTACAAAATATCTTCATGTAACATGATCTTTACTTAATATCCTAATGATTTTTGGCATAAAAGAAAAATCAATCATTTTGACCCATACAATGTATTGTTGGCTATTGCTACAAATATACCCCAGCGACTTAAGACTGCTTTTGTGCTCCAGGGTCTCAAATGTATTAACCCCAAACTTTTGAAGGGTAGTGTATGTTATATTAAAATGAAATGTATTATATTGTGCTGTTTTTTTATTTTCTATCGTTTTATTTTCTATTTTTTGTTTCTGTAGAAACATTTATAATATAATTATTTATTATTGAGTCTTATATTCTCATTTCTATTCCTTCTACAGATATTTTGTTTCTATAATATAATATAATAATTAACAATAGTTTTTTATTTCTGCATCACCAAAGGTCTTCTGAGGTCATATGAGAGTTTTGCATGAGGGTGAATAAATAATGGCGGCGTGGCCTATAAACACACTGCATCCTGTCCATAGAGAAGAGAAAGCTTGATTAAGCACCTTGAGTTTGCAAGTTGATAGTAAGTGTGTTCGGTGTTTCATTGAATTATTGATCCTCCGTTCACAGGCTGAGAAACATCCGATACACGTTCAACACGGTGCTGCTGGTCTTCATCTGGCGCGTCTTCATCGCTCGCTCTCAGATGGCCAGGAACATCTGGTACTTCGTCGTGAGCTTGTGCTTCAAGTTCCTGTCCTACTTCAGGGCTTCCAGCACTCTGACCTAATGACCGGAGCAACAGGAAGTGTGTGTCCCCCCGTCCTCCGAGCACTTCCTCTTCCAGAGGTGTCTTCAGCCATCCACACACACACACACACAGGTGTTTCTTTAGCTTTCCTCACCGGCCTCTCGCTCCACCCGACTCCTCCATGTGCTGTTTTTAAAGGTGTCCTCTTTTATAACGACTGTCCTTAATAACGATTATATATGCAACCGCATTTTACAGTGTTTCTCCTTTACATTCTCATCGCCATCCAACATCTGGAGACGTTGCCTTTGTGTCTTCTGATGATTTTAGCCTTCTCGACTACAGACCACTGGATCTACAGACCACTGGTTTCGGACCACTGGATCTACCGCTCAAAGCTTTGCTGTTTGCAGCCATTTCTCTCTCTCTATGAGTGTGTTTGTGTCTTTTGACGGTTCGTTTGTGTCCTGTCTGTTCTAATACCATGTAATCCAGCCGGAAAACTCTCGTACCGTGTGGTACTAAAGCCTACAAGAACATAGTCTAGCGTTTTCACTGCGGTTTTGGTTGGTGTTTTGTCTTTTTTCTTGTTTTTTTCATTTGCCGCGTTCGGAGGGAAAGGCCAGTGAACTGCAACAGATCTGATGCATTTATAACATCACACATTCGCTTGCTCAACTATACATCCACCAGTTTAAACATGAACACCCAAAATCAAAAGAAAAAAAAGTCTATTCATGAAAAAACTGCAGCCTATTTTTAAGGAACGTAAAATAATTCCTTAAAGTGTTTAGTTTAACCTTTTCATGACAATTAAGCACATTTACCCCCAAATTTAATGCATTTTTAATGGATCTTGAATTATGCTTAATGGCAATACTCATTACTGTAATACAGTATTTTTAGTGTTACTGTAAAAGTAACTACTGTTATATTACATTTTAAATATTAAATACATTTTATATATATATATATATATATATTCCCAATGATAAAATATTAAATATAATTGTTATATTATTTAAATTTTTTATTATTGATTAATAATTACATTTATTAAATATAAAATGACTTTTTACATTTCTTTTGATTTAAGTGTGAAATATGACACTCGACACCATGTATGTTTGTTAATTTTTCTGTTTGTACAGCAGGACGCTGAGTTTAGCGTCAGACTCTTTTTGCGATTGTTAGATGAGGATATTTCTGTCTGTAGATCGGCGTAAGATAGTTTCATCGGTCTGTAAATATATATAAATATATTCCTTTTCAGATGATATACATACCAAAAATGTACAAATGTATATTTGCGAGGGTGAATCAAAAGGCTGGTTAAGAACATCTATTTCCGGAAATGACAGAGGGCTTCCAATATTTTTTAAAGAAAAGCGAAATGTGAAGAAAAAAAGCGTCGAGTCTCCATTTCAATGTTGTTTTATGTTTGAAGTGTTCTGAATCTAGAGACGTAAAGGGACTTAAACCTGCGGGAAAGAAAAAAATCATTGAATTTGGTAGTTTCTATGCAGCACAGCCTGTGCTTCTTCCGTCTAAATATGTTACTTTTCTAGTTTATCGTTTGCTTTTTCACCTTTCTGAAGCACTTTTATTTCTGTTTGCTTGTCAGAAGAACCAAAACTTGTATTTATAACGTTTTATGAATCTCCTACTCCGCCAGCGGTCAAATATAATCTTGACAGCTAATATTTCGTACGGTTTTACAGCATCGTGATCAATAGACACTATTTGAGGATCTCATGAGCGTTCATTTTTCTACACTGCCCGCTGGTGGTCTATTGCCAAACTGTATTTTTGGATCACCGTTTCTAAGACGTTTCTGCCTTCCGTCGTCCGTCTTTTGTATGTCGCACACAGTATTCATGCGTCTTCCTCAGCTCGTTTAGCAGTAGTGCAGCGATTACTTTAGGCGATTTGAGATGTTTTTTCTCCTGCACGTTATGAGTCTCAGTAGAGAAAGCACACGCACACTAAAATCTCGTCTTAGAGCATTCCAGACATGAAAAACAGCCATTTTTCTACTAGAATTGAACACCTTGATGTCTTAACGGCAACCCTTCGTTTTGAGCCAAGCTGAGTTTTCAGATGAAGCTTCTACTGCCAACGTGATCTTTACAATCTCAATCGTTTGTGCTCTGCCACTGATGTTTGTACAGATGAGGTGATTGAGCTGCATTGGGTTTGCAGTAAAATGATTTTCTAACAAAAAAGTCCCCTACTGAAAATGTTTATTTTTTTCCCTGTGTAACTCGTGCATGTTTGCTTTTTACATACGAGATTTTCACAGCAGTGAAGTAGTGGCTGACATGGATTTTGACCTTCCTCTACTCAACATTTGTCTCCATGTTGTGCTGTCAGACGTTGTACGGTCGAGGTCCTTGAATGGATAACTGTACTTTGATAAAATTGTGTGCTTGACTGTTCGTTGCAAAAGAGTTCATGAGAAAATAAACTGAAAATGGCCAAGTTTCCTGTATGTCTTCTTCTTTTTTTTTTTCATCTGACTGTGAAACAATATGAAAAGAAAATGAAATAATATTCTTTATCCGAATTGGTTTTGTATGTTTATGTTCCAGGTCAGTTTTACACATTTATGAGTTTTCAAAAATACAGGTAAGAATGTTTTTCTTGAAATTGTGAGACACTTTCTCATGTAGGGTCATGAATATGCCTGGAAAGATTCAACAATCTGAAGAATCTGGGGATGTGTGCATGAAATCTCTATTACGAATATGATGTTAATTTCCGTTGTGATATTAAAAATCATTTTGACCTGCAAATTTTTAATTTAAAGGCAGGTGCAAGGAAAATTAAAAAATAAAAACTATATATATAAAAAAAAATATATATATATATATATCCAGGTTATCTTTGTGTAATATTAAAATTTGTTTGATGGTCTGAATCTTTTAAGTGTGACAAATATGCAAGCAATTAAAAAAACAGGAAGGGGTCAAAAAAAATTTCACACCACTGTATATATACATTGTATACACACACATATACTATTCATAATATTCAAATTTTGTGAATTTTTTTATTTATTTACAAATTTCATGTTTAAATTTAAAATGAGAAAAATGTTTTTTAAATCTAAATGTTACATTCAAAATAAAATATTTTTAAATATATTTGAAATGTTTATAATATCTATATTGTTTATTGACAATAGTTATAATGTTCTCATGTTAATTTTTTTTGGTTAATGCGCTGTAGGATTTACAGTGGAACAATTTGTACTCCGAAATCGCTAGCAGATTTCACTAATAATTACAAAGAAACAGCAACACATTGAATTAAACATAAAATTTGAAATTCTTGTAAAACATACTCCAAAAAACTGCAGTCATTTACAATTTTACAAAATATTTTTTTTAACTGTATTAAAAGCAAGCTTAAAGCAACTGTATGTAGTTTGTGTATTTTTGCGATTTTGGAGCCATTTGTTGCTGCCGTAAAGCAATCCGCCCTTTTCGCGGAATTTCGTACCCGCTCACCTGATGACGTCCTCCCAGAACAGACGTCTGGAAAAAGATACAGTTATTCGTCTTGTTAAAGCCATTATACTGACTGAAACGGACATTTCAAGGTAAAAACTTACATACAGTTACTTTTTAAAGTTCACACAAAATGAAAAGGTGTCTTTTGCTGCTTATCTGTAGCTCTGAGCTCATCTTTATGCTAGTAAAGTCCTATAGGTTGACAAAGATAACATATATCATATATAGGAATGTATAGTCTTCCTCTATCAGGAAAATAGACTAATTATTGATTGACTGTAACGTTACAATAAATTCAAATGTAGAATGAGAAAGTCATTCTGTACTTTGTCATTCCCAACCACGAACGTGTTGTGAAGGAAGTGGTTTGAGTTTGTTCAGGCTACGATAAGGTGGTTTTACATAAAATGTTAGGCCACAATTCCGGTTTCAAGAAAACTACACTTATTAAACCATTACTGGGGTGTTTGAGGTGTAAGCTTGTGTATAGATGGCAGCTGAGAAAGACCGAGATTAGTCATTCAGATCATATGTTCAGATCTCTTTATATTTAATGAACTTCAAGATCTGTCAGGATGGATTTCAGTCAGATGTGATTCTTGATGATTGATTAATGATTTAATATCACATTCATGATTACAGCAGGATACAGACAGAAGTGTTTTAGGAAACAGGTTGCAAAAGATGTAATTTGTGTTTTTACTTCCTCTTCGGTGCTTTTATCCTTTGAATTGCTCAAATTTGTAGTGTTCGTGATGATTGACATGATACAGGCAGGGCCGGCCCAAGCCTTTATGGAGCCCTAAGCAGAATTTTATTTGGGGACCCTCAGTGCCGCCAATACGACTGATTATTGTCAATGCATGATTATTTGCACACTATAAATCTGACACACCCATTATCTAACACACCCACAATTTTATTTGTTGTAGCTGTGTTGCTTACATCATACCATTTTTTTTTTTACATTTATTTATTTTATGTTTTTTACCCTTCTACGATTTTTAATTGTAATGGTAGCAAACTCACAGGAGTGGTCGGGTGTTAATTTGCACTTTAACATTCAAAGTCTTACAGTGCTAAATGGCATACTTAATGTGGTGTACTGAAAAGTGGCTAAATAAACCAGCAGACAATGCATTTACAGAACAGAATGTTATTTTGACAACTTAAATTATTAAACACAGCAGTAAGTCATCTGTAAAAAACAACAACTCTTAATCTATAACTAGCTAATTGAGGCATAAAAATATTGGAATATAATAGCAAAGACCCCAAAGGTAGGCTAAGGTAAATAATGTTGAACGGTTATCAGTACCAAGTTTATGAAACACACACACAAAAAAAAAACACTGCCCTTTACCCACTGTTCATCTATATCAGCTCAGTTGCCATTTCCACTCCCTAGTTTTTGTCACAACTTGCTCCGTAAAGCTCTGAAAACAATTAGTGCAGAGCGAATTCTGACTAACCAGTAAACACCTCTGATCTGATTCTGAACTGATTTGTGCATGATGCTTTTAGGACGCACTCAAAGAGGAAAACACCGTGGCAGGTGTCGATTTAAAAGTTGTTTAATTTTGTTTAAGTTGTTGATTTAATTGTTGTTCGAATGCTAGAAAAATATAGCTGGTTTTCTAAGTAAAAACCGCCAAATAGCATTTACACGTACTTACGTTATACGTAATATTCAGAGGGAGATGGGGGATTCCCCCGATCTATATGTCTCTGCATCTGCTAAAGGTTTTTTTATTTTCATTTATTTATTAATTTTTTTATTCTCTGTGAATAGGAGTTAAAACTCCCACCAAGGTGACACTACTCCAATAACAGACCATGCAAAATAAACTAATTTGCCTTTTTCCCCCCAAACATGTGTTCTGATAAACACCTTAAAATAGCTCATGTTTTCTGTTTGTTCATTCATATATGGTATGTGGATAAATATCATGAAGATATTTTGAAGAAAGTTGAGAACCAAAAACATGATTGGACTCACCACCCAAGATGTAAGTGACTTTTTTTTTTCTTCAGTAGAAGAATAAAGAAGATTTTTAGCTGAAATCCTGGTCCTTGGTGATTTATAAAATGCAAGTCAATGGGTACCATAACTTTGAGAGTCAAAAAAGCATATCAGGCAGCAGATCAAATTTAACCCCTGCGGCACCTGATGAATATTAAGGTCTTATGAAATGAAACAATTGGTCTGCGCAAGAAACTGAACATTATTTACAACATTATTGCCTGTAATGCCTCAGACAGTCTGGAGTGATGTCTGGTTCACAAACAAATAATTCTTTTGAACCGATTCTTTTTAGTGAACTAGTTGAACCAGTTCACCAAATCAGACTGAAACGTCTGAAACGGTTCGTGGCTCGAGCAGCACAGATCTACAAGTTACTCAATCAAAACTCACTTTCAGACGCCTGACAGTCACTCCGACTCGAAATGACACAAAATAGTGGAGTTTCTGATTCTGTGATGAATGAACTATCCTAAGAAAGTTCTATAGGTTTGTAATTGTAATTTTTGGATGAAAGATCCCTTAAATCGCTCTAAAAATCTGTGTGGAGACGTGCTGAAATCGTGTTTGGTCTCGTACTGTATCGCGTACCTTGTCAGTGTCGTGCGCTTTGCTTGGCCATTTGTTGTGATAAACAGGAAAGTGTGTCCAGCTGAATTAAATTAGAGTTTTGTTAAACGAATAAAAAAAAGAAGCTTAGTTTACCGCGGTGGCGGCTGCGGTCGTGTGAAGACCGAAGAGTGTAAAGACCATCGACTCTACCATGCGACTCCACATAGATAGATAGATAGATAGATATATAGATATATATATATTTTTTTTTTTTGACTTGTCTGCTTGTGTTTCCTCAAAGGGCATTTGTACCTACCGTTCATAGCAGAGCTTCGTGATGCACACGATCATCATCACTGACGCGCCGACAGCAGCTCCGAGCAGCACCGATGGATGATGGAAACCTGGAAAGCAGTGCTTTATTGCTCAGAGGTTGGTCTTTCATAGCTCAGGAGATCTCAGATGTGAAATGGACATTATTAGGCTACATATTGCACTTTTTAAAAGTGTACTTAAGTGTCTTAAACATAGTCATGTAAGTGTACTCTGTCATTAATATATTATCTGCAAGTAGTTTTTTCAATAGAAAAATCCACACTTCTTTTTCACAAGGTCAAAGGCATCATTTGTGATAAAGCTGTTGTTTTGTGTTTCTCACTTGTCTTTTGTGGCGGTGGGATGGCCTGAAACTGTTGACTTGCGCTGCCGTAAATGTTTGTGCTGAAACACTGCAGGACGTCCGTGTCCGTGAGGGACTGATGGATGGTCAGGACGCTCTTCACTCCTGTGCTTCCTAACGTCTCCTCACTTATGGAGGTTTCTGTAGAGTTAGCGAGCACATGTCCAGACAGACGCCACTCTAGTGTAGGGCAGGGATTCCCATGAGCCTCACAGACACACGCCATTACGCTGTTTCGGCTACAAGAGCTGGAGATGTTGGGCGCAACTGAAATAGAGAATATGATTGTTAGGATAAAGAAGATCTCGATGGTCTCTACAGTGTAAAACATGTTTGTTATTTTAATGATAAAACACTAAAAATGTCACAGTAAACACGTTAATTTGTAAAAAAGTTCCCTTACTATATACAGTGAAAAACTAATACATCTAACAGGACATTTCATCTAACAGTGTTTTATGGTGGTTGTCAATATATTATAACAAAACTTATTTTAGTGTTTTACTAAGCTGGTATACATAAATTTTGTTCTGTAAATTTAAAGTTCAACTGTATTTTTTATGCTAAAGTTTTGGCTACTGCGAACATTTGTTTTACTGTAAACCTCACAGATTGTTTCTTTTTTTACAGTGTAGACAGAAACTGTGTAGGATCTCAGAAAAATAAAACTGCTTCATGGCTTGTAGGTATTTTCTAGCACTTAATAGAATCAGAATCAGAAGAGCTTTATTACCAAGTATGTTTACACACACAAGGAATTTGACTTGACGACAGGAGCTTCCAGTGTAGAAGAAAGTACAAACATAGTGCAGACATACATAGGAATAACACAGTAGGGATGTAATATAAAAAAATAAATAACTAGAAATAGAAATAATAACTAGAAATAGAAACATCAATAGGAACATCTCACTGTGGGTGAAAAAAAAATTCATGACAAAATAGAAGAAAAACGTAACTTAGTACTAATAGTTTGCTGAAGTAGAAAAGAGGAACAAGCCACAATTTTAAAGTTACGGTTAGTTCCTCTAGGTCTACTATATGCCACACTGGTGAAAATGACATTAATGTGTTGAAGAACTAATTTTACTCTTCTGACTGCAGTAGTACTCAGTTATAAAAAGTCTTTAATTTATATAATTATATAATACTCAAAAATGAACATCGTCATTTACTCACCGAACCTGACATGACTTTATTTAAAAAAAGATCTTTTGAAGAACTTTGGGATCCAAACAACATTGGACTCCATTGACTTCCATTGTATGGATGAAAAGATACTGAGACATTTCTCAAAATATCTTTCTCAAAAAAGTAAGGAAGTCATGCAGGTTTGGAATGAGTGCGAGTAAACATTGACAATTTTCATTTTTATGTGCAAACATTATTTTGAACTCTGTTAACATAATAATGTTAATCAACTTAATATTGTGTGTAATTTAAATTAGTTGAAACAACCTCTTTTTTGAGTAATCATCGACTTCATTTGTTTATGCTACAAATTATATCCTCGGTGTAGTTTGTTGGTTAAACATAATTTCATTAGGCCTAGTTGTCGTCATGACTCAAAAGATTGATGCAAACTGTTGCAGTACCTTTTTTTTTTTTTCCAAAACATTGTTTAATGTGCAGCATCTAATGCTGTCGGTTGCCACAGAAAATCATTTTGACTCGTACCCCAGTGTTTGATCACTGTATTGGCATTATAGAAGGGCTGCTGACAGATTCTTGTAATTTCACTGGTTTAAGAGCAGTTTCACAAATGTTTTATATCGAAACCTTGCATTTCAAAATGCTGTAGCATGACTTCAACATGTTGCTCTGTAACAAAATAATTTACAAAAGGGGAACAAAATCTCCCTCTGTCTCCCTCAAAAGATGTTTGTCACAATGCTGCACTCATTTCACGGCTTTTCTAGCATGCAGTCTATGCGCAACTGACTGTATACTGTCAACCTATTTAAGATTGTTGGCATACTCTGTGATGCACACACCATATAAAATATTAAACCATATAGCATGCTGTAGTTGAAATAATAAAATTGACTTTGACTTAAGCTATATGCCAAGTGTAAATAATTTAAACATGATTTTGTGGTTTTTGCAACTCTTTAGTAGGGTATTTTCAGTCCTGAAAATCATATTTTGACTGTGAAATTATGCTTTTCTTGCATGCTTTTATGGTAAAATTGCAACTTTTTCATGTCAATTTGCATTTATTTTCACCATAAACAATGCACTTTCCATTCAAATGCAATGCAGTCTAGAGCATTGTTATGTGTTTGCGGCAGTTATTGTACTATGTTCACAGTATTTATGTTATCTGGGATCAGATTAAGGTTATCAGATTAAATTAATTTGAGTTCTGTCTTTGTACTCACACTGAACATCAAGTTGAATTGTAGCGTTGCATTGGCCATGCTGGTTTTGAGCATTACAGCCATACCATGCGCCCTGTGTAGGGTTTGTCACAATGTAGGTGTGATTATATCCAGTCTGGAGGAGCTCAAATTGAGATTCGGTTTCTCTGTACCAGGTGTAGTTGAGCTCTGCTGGGTTTGCATCAGTGCTGCAGTTCAGAGTCACTGGTTTGCCCTCCTTCACTGAGCTGGAGGGAAACGCTGACAATGATGTGTTTTTTGGGGCATCTGAAGAAAAAAAGAAGTGTGCTGTAGAATTTGTGGTTTACAGTTCAAGATTTGAAAGGCTGTAGGTTTAAAGTAAACCTTTCTATTTTACAAGTTTCAGACTGAATGTCCACAAGATTACCAAGCGCTCATACTGGATGCCCAGCAGATTACCATGTACTTGCACTGGACTTTCAGCTGATTACAAATTACTCGCACTGGACGTCCACAAGAGTAATGACTTTTTTTTCTCAGATTAAAAAAAAAAAGAATATTAAAGACATCAACTATAAAATAACACTAATGGAAGTATGGGTAATATATATATTAGCAATCAATTAAGACTCTTAAAGGGGTCATCGGATGCCCATTTTCCACAAGTTGGTATGATTCTTTAGGGTCTTCATGAAATGTCTGCAACATACTTATGTTAAAGTTCCTCAAAAGTCGTGTAAAACAACACCCTTTTTACCTTGTCAAAAACAGCTCTGTTCACAACGACCCATTTTGGTGCATGTCTCTTTAAATGATAATGAGCTATTGCTCACCCTGCCTCTCCCTTCTGTTTTTTGTGTATTCGTTGATGCATTACCATCAGAAACAAAACTAATCCACTGCGTCCTCAGTGGCTCTGATGTTGGGAGAAAATAAAGACTTAATACTCACACTGGACGTCCAGCAGCACTGATGTCCTTTGAGTGCTGTGTTTGTTCTCAGCTCTACAGTAGTATTGTCCACTGTGTGCCGAGTCTGTATTATTGATGGTCAGGTTTGGTCCGGTCTGAACTGGATTCAGAGGTCTTTCAGTGTCTCTGTACCAGGTGTAGTTCACTGCTGGGTTTGCGTCACTGAACGACCCTCTAGAACTAAACCAGCTGGATTTATCCTCACTGATGTGTTTTTAGGAGCATCTGATGGAGGAGAAAATCATTCAGGCAATTACTTTATGATATTATAGTTGATCATTGAGCATAGATTGATTCAATTCCTGTCTTACACTGAACTAGTAGCATCCGGGACTCTTGTGTTGTGCTCGGCTGCTGTAGCTGGTGTGTTGCAGTGCAGGTGAAAGTGACTCTGTGATGACGGTGAGAAACAGTGAAGTTCAGATCAGAGATGAGCTCAGTTTGGCTCTGATACTGCCGTCCTGTGACGCTCTCGATGAGAGATGAGCTCCATGTGAGAGATGGTGGACGAGACTGACAGAAGATCTTAGTAGAGCAGCGCAGACTCACTGAACTTCCCTCAGTCGTCTCCTGCTGATCCGGAAAGATGCTCAGTGTGGGTTTGGAGGGAGATCCTGAAACACACATAGAGACGCAGTCAAATATAACAAGATCATATGGGTCATTATATCCAATAATGAAGGTATATATTATACAGTAGTAGATTTCTTTTTCATGTACAGTCACACTATAGAAACAGCATGAACAATATGACACTCACCTAAGACGGCAATTTGAACTTGGGAGTGTGTAGGTTCTCTGTAGTTATACTGCACTTTATCATCTTCAGGTCTGAAGTAATATGACTCTGACTGACATTATCGAAGCGTGTGGTGCAGTTTTTCTGTGTAGCAGTGCCAAATATTTCTCCTTTTAACAGTCCAGTGTTGGGGCTGCTGGAGACAAACACTGGTGTTACACCCTTAAACCATATTCTCTTTGCACTATCAGTGAGGTAACTGTTAAACTGTTGATCGATGTCAAATGTGCAGGGTATGAAAACACAGGATCCTTGTAGAGCTTCTACTCTCTGCGGCAGATTGATACTGAAGCCACAAAAAACACCTAAAATTAACACAAACAGACAAAAGAAGTAATCGTACAAAGTCGATATTCAGAACAAACTTCTGCAGCACTTATTGCTCTTCAATCTTATGAAGGTCACATGTAAGTGCTTTCACAATAATAATTTAGCTTGTTAAAAAGAGGAATAATCTATAAGAATGAGATCTTGTATCAGAGATCCAGTGAGGAGGAACGTCACCAATGTTTCCATCATTTACATGCACTCCACCTTACAGCAGAATGTACAAATGAAGACATATTTTATAGAATGAAAAAAGCATAAATGTTGGACCTGTTTTTGTTTGTTTATTCTACACACAGGTGTGCGATGGCAAATGTTGATTGATAGAATGAAAAAAATAATAATTTATTGTCTCTGAATTTATAGCTCTTTTGTTGGTATCTAAACTCTTTATTTCAAAATTTCTAGATTAAAGTTTTAGATTTTTTTTCTAGATTTTTACATGAGAATACAGAACAATACTAAAGATTTAAAAAACAGGACATCTTGAACATGTTTCAAACCTTAACGTTTCAGAATCTCAAAACTACAGGAGTAAGTGTAAGTTTTACTGGATTGTGTGTAAATGACTTACCAGAGAAGAGAGTTGCAGACGACAGAAATCCTCTCAGAGCTCAAGCTGATGCTTCTACACTGAATGAAGGGAGAACTGTGTGTGAAAATGGCACCGTTTAACTTGTATTAGAGATTCACCACTTCTCCTTTAGTCAGAACTCAGTAACAGTAGCCTGACTGAGAAATCTATCAGTATGAAGCTTTCTGAATATTCAACACATTTCTTTTGTCTTGTGAGATCCAGTGTTCAATGTTTATGTTGATAATAATTCTCAATATTCAGGAACAGTACCGCCACTCCCTATACGCAGAGTAAGTTACACTTAATAACGACTAAATAATAAAAGTTAATAACGACTTTATTCAACAATTCGTCTCCTCCGCATCACCCTGTAGCGCCATTTTGGAGAGTATCAGCTGGATGTAAACAGCATA